CTGGGGTGGGGGGTTGTTTAGGGAAAGAGCGGACGGGAAGTGAAGCACGAGGGCAGCCGTTGGGAGCACGCAAGAGCCGAGCGGTGCCGTTCTTGCTATCTGCAGCCAGCTGCATCGGTCCCGAGCGTTGATCGACCTCACCATGACTGTCCCTACTTCTTTCTCCCCTGGAATCGCAGCTACTAGCTCAGGACGAGGCAACCGAAAATGTGTCCATTTTGAGGCCGGTCTCTTGATTTAACGCTTATCAGAGCTGCTTGAAGAATGGGAACGAGGTGGCATCGGCAGCAGTTATCAGGAGCAAGACAGCACAGCATCCCCACCAAACAAGATTGCGGAGAGCGCCCGGCCACGTACAGCAAGCACTCCATCCACTGACTGGTCCCCTAACGCCCATAGGGCACCACCGACTTACCGAAGGCACCTTGGAAGGCCCCTTTGGCTGACACCTGGGGTGCACGGTGCACAGTTTGGGTCGAGCCACATTCGACCTTTGTCATGACTGCTACCTAGGACCATCCAGTCGGGACGGGAAAGGGCCGGGGCCGCGACCGCCGCTTGGCCGCGTGTCACATGGAAGTCAAGAATATATAATACAAAATGGGTTGCAGTGCACACGATGAAGAAAGGTTGCTGATGGCATGCAGGATGAGGACATTTGGGCGAGAAAAAATTGGACTGTGTACCTCGAATGAGGGCGCGCGGTGGGATGGCTGGCGGTTTGCCAAGGGTCCTGCCGTCACAATCACTGGGCTCTTTGGGGCCAGGCCATAGCTGACAGGGTTCCCTCGCGCCACCAGACAGACATGCCAAACTGGGCAAGGTGTTTTCCAGTGGCTGCGCCAGTGGCAGAGCCAGGTGGGACGATGGTTTGACAGACCTGCATCCCCCGAACGCGAATGTTGGAGCCCGCTCGCTTTTCTCCGCTCACTTCTTCAACTGTTACACTTGCCTTGGGTTCGGCGCCACACGGCGAAGATCCTATGTGCCGGCCGACACGCGACACCAAAACCTTCTGATGCGTCTCGGTGTTCTTCCGAGGTATTTTGGAGAGACAGCCAATCTTAAAAAAGGAAAAAAGGAAAAAAGGCAATCAGCCCCCCCCCCCCCCCCAATAAACGGGAAAAACCTCACGCGGGCATGTTTTCAGGAGGGAATACCAGAATTGATGCAGTCAATGCTCGTATGTACTTTTCGGCCGTTGCAAAATTTGTCGGCACCCCCCTATCGTACTCTGATAAACATGTCTCCTGGGGGCATGCCCCTCGGCTCATCGTCTCCCATCTCAAAAAATGAACCTGCCCTTTTTCATCGCGGCGGCTTGGGTTTTCCCTCCCCGCCGAGAAAAACGGGCCCCTGTTCAAACCGGGGGAACGGGGGTCCCCTCCCTGTTTGATGAAAATCTTGTCGAGGCGGGATCAGATCGTTTGG